TGCAGCCGGGGCTGGAGAAGGGGCTGGGCCGGGTGTCGGGACAAAAGCCTCCTGGAGCCACTGCCATGTTCTTCCACTCTGTCCAGACACTTCTGTTACTCCTCCAGGCCATTTTTCCCACCTTGCTGATGGGAAGGGACTGAAGGGAATTAAGTCAGTTCTCAGGTGTGCTCACTGCTGAGCCCATCCTTTGTATTCCCTCAGGTACGGCACTGCCTCCTGGTCTTTGGTTACCCTTCTCCCATTACTCCTGATACCTTTACACTGGTTCAGGACAGGTGAACTCTTTGGCTCTAGGCTGCCTGGGCATATTAAGTTTGACCGCAGTTGTTTCTGGCACAATGGAAAAACCTCGGGGCACCTCACAGGATCTCATCTTTCAAGCGCAGATAGTCAAGCCCTGGAGTGAACTCCGAGGTCTTGCTTGCTAAGTGACCCACTGTCCGAGGACTTGTTGTTATTCACTCTGTCAAACCGCTTCTCAGGCTTGTTCAGTGCTGAGTCTGCCCTGTTCATCACTGTGCTTGCGGTGCTTGCACTGCAGAGCATCCTGCAGAAGTGTCCGTGGAGCGAGCGGAGAAGCAGGAGCAGAGCTTGTGTCACTCCCTGCGTGGGGTGTGCGGACAAAGCACCAAGACCCGGGGGTTGGATCCCACCTCATCCCCCCTGTTTCCTGCTCTCTCCCCCAGCCTTCCTCAAGCACAGAAGAGCTCCTGGCCAAGCAAGGACCTTCAAGGTTTCCATGCACTGCTTGTGCCCCAATGTCGAGGACCCCGAAGGGCAAGGCAGAGCTCACGGGCCAGCACAACCCGCCGACTGTTCTACCCACTCCCCTCCCCTCCCCATGCACCTGTACAAGGGTAAAGGTTGAGAGGAGCATGAATGAGGGGACAACAAAAACTACGAGGGGACAGGTCTTGCAAAAGGTAATAAGACTGTCTGGTAAGTAGTTGGTGGGTTCCCTTTCCAGGGCATGCCCAGGCTGGGGATCTGGTTTGTGGACGAGTGGGAGCAGAAATGCTGCCCTCCATGAGGCTCTGACTGAGGACTCCGAGATTAGGAGACAGATGCCCTGCTTCTCATGATAAGAAACATCTCCCTTTGTGACTGGCCTCAGGACCCCCTTGGATGGGATGAGCTGCCTGCAACATGGGAGATGGGGGTGTGCCTGGGGCTGCTGGACAGAGATTGGGGCTACACAAAGTTGTGTCCGGGCATCTGAATGTCCTGAGTTCCAGTCTCAGAAAGGGCAGCCCTTTTCCCTGCTCCCAAAGCCCCTCCCTGGGTACCACCTCTGGCTGTGGAGTCCCTCAGCCCCCCTAGCCAGGGGCTGCACACACACCTGCCACCTCTGCTCCCCACACCAGACACTGTCCCATCTTTTGCTGATCTCTGCTCTCCACATGTCTGTCCAGCCCTGTCCTTCTCCACACATAGGCTGTCACCAGTCTGCTACACCCTTTGACCTCATGTGTGACCAGCAGCTCTCATTCCTGGCTAGTTCAGTATGCAGAGCCTAAGACTTGTAATCTTGGGGTTGTTGGTTCCAGCCCCATGTTGGGTATGTCACCTTTCCTTTTGATTTTCCTTTTGTTACTGTACCTCCTTGAAGCAGTGGTCCGGCAGAAAGATCTCTTCCCCTGGCCATCCTGCTATGTAGCAAGACACCTTCCAGCCTCAGGACATCTCTTTCCTGCCATTCATGCATCTCAGGCCAGGCTGTGCAGTCATGGCCGTGGGGCAAGAGCCTGCAAAGGGGATGCGGCATGAGACACTTTGGGATCTGCGGGGTTCAGGATCAGGGCTCTGGCCTTTCCTCCAAGCACTGGTATCAGCGGACCTTGCAGGGGAGGGCTGAGGGCCTGTGGAGCAGGAGGTGGTGCTGGGGAAGGGGCTGTTCTCTCTGAGACTCCAACTTCAGACCTTCAGATTAGGAGACTGAAGCGCTGCTGGCTGCGCAAAGAAGATGATGGCAAACAACTCCCCGTGCCCCTCTGTGCCCTGGGCACAAGGCGGAGAAGCGCTGGCAGAGGGGGCACAGGGAGGGAGCAGCGTGCCAGGATCCTTCAGGCATTGGGATCTGGGGCTAATCTGGCCTCTATCCTGCCTGCTTTGGGGATCAAGTGCTCTGCTTCCGCAGGATCAGGTAGGCTCCAGGCCTTGGTCAGGGAAAAAAATGTGCTGGGGCAGGACTAGGCCGTGCCCCATGGCAGAGAGCTGGACATGGACAGAGCCCAGCCCTGGCCTTGCTCATGGAAAGAAACCCAGCAGAGACTGCCAGCAAGGCCCCACTCCCAGAGTGGCTGCGCTGCAACGGGACAACATGGGCGCTCCCAAGCAATGCGGACAGACACGAGGCAGTGCTTTCCCCCGGCTTTGGGAGGTTTCTATGTATGGAGAGGCAGAGCAGGTGTGGGGTGGCAGAGCAGGTGTTCCCTATAGCCAGTTCAGGGCTAGAGGGCGGCTGGGTGTACCTATGCCATGAGCAGTTTCTCTCATGATCCCTAGGGCTCCTGTTGTGGGATCCTACACTTTTGCCACCGCCCGGGTCCAGCTGCTGCTCAGAGGCAGGTTCACAGGCTGGATTCCCTGTGGGGACACTTTCTTAAAAGGTTTCTTAAAAGAGATACCTGACTGCGGCGGGAGGGGGGCCCAACATGAGTTTAAACAGCCGCTGGTTGTGGGGGATTTGGGCCAAGCTCTGCCTGTCTTCTGCTCAGGTTCTTTCCTAGCGCTCCTGGTTTTCCTGGTTGGCGCACGGAGCTGGGTGGGAATCCCACCTCCAGCCCCCTTCTGCTACATGTGTCAGGGGGTTTCCTGTTTTTAAGACTTCCTCTGAGGCATTGGGTGTGTGGGTATTGAGCTGTGCTGAGCCTTTCTGGAAAGGCTGGGACGGGTGTCTACATAAGGATAGTAGTAGTCAGTATGACTGTTGCTATCACTGTTACTTACTATGCTACTTATTATTATGATTGGTAGTATTAATATTTATCACAATAAACTAGAAATAATCCTTTTGCTGTAATAATTATTCTAACGATAATAGCATGTTATCTAGTAATAGTAAATGTTATTGCTATTATTACTATTGCTCTTCATATATTCTAATATAATAAAAGGCTTGACTGTCTGTCTGTCTGTCCATGCATAACACTCCCAGCCAACTGCACATTCAACACCAAGAGGGTGGATGGCGATTTACTGCTCTGCCCAGGCTGCACGGGCCCAAGTACACTTCACTGCTGGGGGTGTTTGATGGTGGGAAACATGCCAGGGCCCTGTTCCCTGAGGGCAAAGTGTGGAGGCATGGTGGCCAGGTTGGGGGGAGCAGGGACACCAAGGGTGAGGGGAGCAGGGTCATATCTGGCAAGGTGGGGGAGTGGGGTTGGGCTTAATGGGGGAAGATGGGGCAAGTCAGACCCACAGCCGGGGGAGGGGGGAGTGGGGGCTGGATCTGATGCAGGGGGATGGGATTGGACTGACAGCAGTTGGGGGAGGGGGTTCGGACCTGGCAGTGGGTGGGTACAGGGTCAGACCCAGCACAGCAGGGGTAGCAGGGAGTTCAGTCATCCAGCTGTGGCGAGGTACTCTGTCCCAGCCTGTCATTCTTGATGGGCAATTTGCTAGTATTATAATAGCATAGCTAAGACAAGTACAAATATTGCTACTAGTCTGGGTACTATTTTTACTAGTATTACTGCTATTATTTTAGATCCCAGCATGTCCCAGCTCTCAGTTGCAGCCAAACAGCAGCACAGGCAGGGGCTCCAAGCTGCGACAAAAAACCAGAAGCAGGTGCCTTCTTAGCGCAGCCGGCAGCGCGTCAGTCTCATAATCTGAAGGTCCTGAGTTCAAGCCTCAGAGAGGGCAGCCCTTTTGCTCTGCTCGCAAAGCCCCTTCCCAGGCACCACCTCTGGCTGCTCACTTCCTCAGCTGACATCCCTGGGACCTCGGCTCCAAACACCAGCTGCTGCCCCATCCTGTGCCAACCTCTCCCCTGGACATGCTTGGGAGCGCTGCCCAGCCACTATCCAACCCTGCCCATGGGTTGTTTGCTCTCTGCTGCAGCCTTTGGCCTCCTACACAGAAGGCTTGTCATGTCCCTGGCTAGCTCAGTCGGTTGAGCATGAGACTCTTAATCTCAGGCTCATGGGCTCCAAGCTCTTACAAAAAACCAATAGGCGGCACCTTTTTAGCGTAGCCGGCAGCGCGTCAGTCTCATAATCTGAAGGTCCTGAGTTCAATCCTCAAAGAAGGCAGCCCTTTTGCCCTGCTCCTAAAGCTGCTTCCCAGGCATCACCTCCGGCTGTCCAGATCCTCAGCCTACAGCCCTGGGTACTGGGTTGCAAACACCAGGTGCTGTGCCCACCTCTCCCCTCGACATAGCCCACAGTGCTGCCCAGTCACTGTCCCCCTCTGCCCTCTTGTTCTTTGCTCTGTGCTGCAGTGCTTGCTCTCCTAATAGCAGACACAGTGCATGCCTGGCTAGCTCAGTTGGTAACGTATAAGACTCTTACTTCTAGGGTCCTAGGTTCAAGCCCCATGTTGGGTGTGTGGCTTTCCCTTTTTCTATTGACTGTGCTTCTGTTACTGTACCTCCTTCAGGCAGTGGTCAGGCAGAGAGATCCCTTCCCCGGCCTCCCCATCTCTGCAGGAAAAAGGCCAGGGTTTGCAGTCCCAGACTGGGGGTGGAGACTGCCCCTGGCTGGGAGGGCACCTCTCACCCACCCTCCTGCCCCAGCAAAAAGCCCTGGGAGAACTTAAGCAAAGGAGGAGTTGTTAGAGCGAGCTCCCAGGACAGTATTTTCCTGGTATCCATCCAGAACACAGGGGCTGGGAGGATCTCCTCCCCTGCTCAGGATCAGACCCGCAGCCCAGGGGGAAGCATGGACACCACCATGGAGCAAAAACATGGCCCAGAACAGGGTGAATCCCTCTTCGCAATGGAGCAGAGAAGCCCATTGCCCTGCACACCTCCAGCTATCCATGTAGTCCTCTTTCACCAAATGTTGCAACCTGCCAATGATGCAGCTTGCAGCGAAGGGGGCTTTACCACTTGAGAAGTAGCACTGCCCCTTCCCCGCCAGTCTCCTGCCCCGTCTCCGGGACAGGGGCAGGCTCCAGGGAGGCGGGGAGGGGGCAGCCAGGCACAGTCAGATACAAGTCCCCTACCTGCACGCTTTGTGCTCTGGCTCCGCAGAAAACAAGAAAACTTTTTCATTAGTGGAAAAAAAGATGCAGGCGTGTTAAGAAATAACAGAGGATTTTAAAGAGGTGACGCCTCAATTCTTCTCTAAGCCACAAGGAATCAAACATGAATGGACGAAGCCTTTCTTTATGCCCCAGCTCTAGAGCTCGATGCAGCTCCTGTTGCTCTGCTCAAAAGCCGAGTTTTCAGCGGACAGGTTTTCCCCGCTGCAGTCCTGCCATAAGTCCTTTTGTCAGGGGCCAAAAAATAAGGACTTGACAGTAAGTCCTCTCACACAGGCTTTCACATTTTGGGCCAGACTAATTAACAGGAAATTTCCCAAGGAGACGAACTCTCCGAGACCAGCTTTGCAGGTTGTCCTGGGATCCAGGTGGGAATAAGGAAGCGCAGAAGAGGCTGCAGCTCAGAGGAGCAAGGACAAAAGGGGACTCTGTGAATCCTGTGCAGGTGACAGCCTTGCTGCTACTGGGCTTGGGGACCTGGAGAGGTTTGTGTCCTTTCCCCCACCTCCTGCATCAGGCAGGGAGTAGGTCTGCATCCTTCTTCCCGAGAGAGAGACAGGAGCATCCCCTGGCACTTCAGTGGTGCAGCTGCCCCCGTCTTTGACCTGTGTCACCCCTCAGGAACCTCCCTGAGGTTCAGGCCTCCTTGGAGTGGGAGGCAGCACCCTGCCGCTGCACCCTCTTTACCCCGCAACTCAGTTCCACTGAACAGAAAATGGCCCTGGCCCGGCACAGGGAAATCTTTGCAAACGAGCTTCCACAGGTGTCCTGGAGTCCAAGAAAAAGGCAGCAGAGCGCTCAGAGTCCCAACCTCACCTGAAGGACCCAGCTGCTCCTGCACAAAGGAGACCAAGATCTCCCTCCTTCTCCAGCTTCCCCGTGATTTGTTTTATTCCCGTCGGCTGGTGATTGCCAATGACATCACCAATCAGCTTCAGCTGTAGGAAGGCACGGCTCATGGATCTGTGCGGGTTTCAGCTGCATTGCAGGTCCTGCTGCAGGTAAATGTTTTCCTTGTTTTATTTTTGTGTTTGTTTTCTTTTCCTTGGGTGGTTCTTGTGCCCAGGAGTCTCCATTTGTAATCTGGGGTCCTCTCTCCCGCTCTCCCCCAGGACACGTGTAAATAGCATAACTGTGACAATACCAATAGGACCATGGTACAGTCAGATGTAACACCCCTTCAAACTTAGCAGGTGGTGTCTCTTGTCTCTGCTGCATAACATGGCTTCATCCACTCCTAGGGGCCTCAACGAGGAAGAAAAACTGCTCTTTGATGCCCTAGAAAGGTTGGAGAGGACAACTAAGATGCTGAAAGAGAAAAGTCTCCTGCTGCTGAATGCAGCCTATGAACCGATAAACCTCTTGATGGCAATCCATGACAGCTTTTCATCCTTGAGGCTCACCGTGTTGATGGAAGTCCTAGAAGTGTCAGTCACATTTGAACAAGACAAAATATTACATCTGAAGACTATCAGAGACTTATGTCTAAACTTTGAGGGAAATGATGGGCAGCTATGGGGAGCTGAAAGCATGTCTGACTTGTCAGAGTCATGAAAAAGGACTTTGCAGACCACCAGCAGGCTTCTGCAGCTGGTGAGAACAGAGTGATCGGTCTGTACAACAAAGGAAAAACTTATCAAGTTTGCTATTTAATTGTCTGAGGAAAAACTTCTTTGCTCCATCAAAAGAGTTTCCTTATTGCTTTGTCTCCCTTTGGGATGGTGGGTTTCCCTGGAAATGGACCTGGCCAAGAGAGCAGGCCTGTGATTAACTCAAGAACTGTGCATGCTTGCAGGAATAAAGGGGGGCAGGAAGGATTGGGGGTACGCTACAGGATGAAAACAGCGGGCCAAAGACAGCAGTTGCTGAGCTGTCTTAAAAATGTTTTTTTGTTCATTTTTCCTTGTGTTCCCGTGGTTATCGTGGTCAGGAGGGGCAGGTGCTGGCTGCCTGAAGCACAGGAGGAGACTTTTAGTTTGCTTTGGAGCTGGAGTGTTTGAGCGGCAGGTGTGTGGTTAGCATAAGTCCAGGGCTTGTTTTCCCGCATGCTATAAGTCTAACATAATAAAAGGCTGAGCCCAGCTGTGAGTCTGTCTGGATGTCTGTCTGTCCATAATACTTTTGGGCAACTGTGCATACGCGGCCCAGTGGGTGGCCGGTGACTGGCTGCGTGGGCCCCGGTGTGTCACAGAGGGATCCTCATCAGCAGGGAAGGGAAAGCTGCAGTTGGAAGCTCCGCACCTGCTTTTGGCATCAGCTTTAAAACTGTGGATTTCACATCGCCTCCCTTGGGAGCTGGAAGTGGGGGGTCCTCCTCCCGCAATGGGGCTGTGGGAGAGGTCCACAGGGCAAGGTTTGGGACAGGAGAGCGGCACTGTGCCTGGGGGAGAAGCTCAGATGGGACAGGTGACACCGTGCCTGGGCAGGATGGGGCTGAGCAGGCTGGGAGCCGTGCCCCACCTGCGGGGAGGGGGGGCAGTTGGGACTGAGCCTTTGTGGGCAGTGGCACTGGGAGGGCCTTGGGGGCTGTAGCCCCCCCAAATTCATCTTAGCCCCCACCTCTCAGTGCTGCCACCCGCCTGCCCACAGAGACATGGCACAGCACTGCCAGCCTGGCGCAGCCCAGCGGGCCCTCGGCATCTGCCCGGCTGCACGGGACAGCCAGGAGCAGCGCCTGCAGGGCAGTGGGACAGGGACGGGTGGGACGGGTGCGGGGGGGCTGCCTCCCTGTGACCGAGACTGGGGGAGCGGGGGGGTGTGCGTGTGCGTGCATGTGCGTGGGTCTGTGTACCTGTCTGTGCCCATCTGTGACTCTGGGTCTGTGTGGGTTTCCTCGCCTCTCTGCCTTTCTCTCTTTGTGGGGCTGTCTGCCTGTCTGTGTGTTGTATCATTTGAATGAGTGTTATAATTGAGTGTTACTTATAATGCTATAATTCAGGGATATGACTTGAATGTTGTGATGCTAATGAGGAAGGTAATCACCATTCCTATGTACACAACATCCCACTTAAGAGGAGAAAAGTGCTAGCAGAAAGACCATGATCCGGCTTGGACAAACAAAAACCCCAAAGTGACTGTTGTAAAATTGCTGCTGTGCCCCCGTGTCCCCCAGAATTGACAAAGCCAGTACATTTTGGGGGGGAGAGCACTTGAAAATGCAGCACTGATTGGAAGAAAATTTGTGCCGGTGAGAGTGTAGCAGAAAGCCCCTTTTCCTCTTGCCTGCAGTTGCTCTCCCCTCCTTGGATATGTTTTTCCTCTTCTACCTTTTCTTCCTTCCTCTTTCTTTCACTTTAAGATGAGGAATTGTGTTTTGAAATTTGTATGTGTGCATTTTGTATCTCCCCTTGTATTTTGGTATTTTTATCTATTTGTGTGCCATGGCATT